CTACTTCTAATTCAACTATACCTTAAATGTGGCCTATTCACTGAATAGTCAGCCACTATTCCCATCGGTGCCTGCCTTTATGGGGCAACACCTGATGTAACTATTTTTGTTGTAAAAGTCAAATAAATACATTAAGTGCAGCTGCGGTAAATGCGGAATGACAAATGAAAGAGGGCAATAAGCGCAACACCCAAGAAAATGCGGGCAAAAAACGGAACTTAAGACCAAATGAAAAGCAACAGAATGAAGTAGAAACAAAAAATACAATAAAATGAAGGCAAAAACGAAACGTAAAGAGCAACAAGAAAAACAACTCCCGGGCGCATTAATTAAAAGGCGCAGACAAAGCGAGGCGCAGATTAATTGGCGTCAATGAGCAGCAGACAAACGGAAAGAAAGAGAGAGCAGGAAAAACACACAGAGAGAGAGAGAGAGAGATAGAGAGTGGGGAGGGGGCAGAAAAGTAGTGCGAGCGAGAGATAAGACGAGCCAATGACAAGGACGAAAAGTGATTAAGTAGAGAGCAAGGCGCCTAGGGGAGTCAAGGGRGGGGGGGGGGGGGGGGGGGGGGGGGGGGGGGGTATATCAACGGATATCAGCGAAAATGAGTAATGAACTCGAGCAAGTAGCAAGGCGTTACACTTGCCTTTTTTCAGTGCACGGGATAATAAGAAACTAGGCTCGACTGTGCGTGTGCCCGCCTGTGCCTCTGTGTGTGTGTGTGTGGCTGTGTGCGTGGGGAATGCGCGCCGCGCTTTATGCTACATATTTTTTATTCGCTGCTTTTAAATTCCCCGAACGCGTCGCGAGTCAATGAACTGCTGCAGTTGGAGTGTCTGCGTGTGCATGTGTGTGTGTGTGTGTATGGAATATATGCAAATTATAAGCCCAGCCAAAAACTTGTCTTCTGGGCAGTGAATGTGGCAGCGGGTAGTGTGGGCGAGGAGGCGTGGCAAAGCCAACTTGCCTGTGTAATAATTTTGCCGTTTGCTGTTGCTGTTATTTTATTTTTTTTTCGCCGCTCATTTCAAATTCAACAACTGCCACAGCGAAAGAACGCAGTGTGAATAAGAAGAGAATAGTCATAGAGCGTGCAAGCGAGAGAGAAGCAGTGGAAGACAGAGAGATATAGCGAGCGAGCGAGCGAGTGGCATGCATACGCTGGTGCTTTTTGAATGGAAATAAGCCTCGTTTATGTTACGTCTGTTGCTCGATGCTCGCGTCTACACTACACTACAAACACACACACATACACGTAAAAAAAGAAATGGCAGCACACTATGTGCCTATACGACTGCGCCACTCTCATGCTCCCACTCTCTCCGTCAACTGTCTGCTGTTTTGCATGCATGCAATAACAACAGCAACAACAACAACAACAACAGCAGCAATAGCAACAAAGGCAACTGCAGAGGCCACCGAAGGCGACGACAAATAAGCGCCACAATTTCTGTGGCTAACATTTTCGCATGCGTCTGGCTTTTTGCCTCCGCCACGCCTCTGTGCCCACATTTTTATTTTAATTAAACTTGAAGCAGAAATTTTCTTTTTGCTTCTTCTGCTTTTATTTCTTAACATACATTTTTCTGCACAATTTTTTATTCATTTTCTGTGCTCCGTTTTCCTTTTTTTTTTCTTTTTTTTTTTGGCTTTTTACTCGCATTCAGCTTTATAATTGTGTTGAAAGTTCTGCAAATGAACATGTGCATGCAAATAGAAATTTCGAGTTGGGAGTGTGTGTACGTGTGTGTGTGTGGTGTCTAGAGAATGCTTTGAAACTTAACCAAATAATTGGTGTTAGCTGCGAGCAGGAAGTTGCCATTTGGCCAAATGAGTTGTGGCATTCATTCTATTAGATAATGAGTTTCGCAAAAATACGTGGAGTGAAAAATAATACTACTATTTCGCAAAGCTCTGAAATGCTATGAGATATAATCAAAATTAATTTTTAAAATAGTTTCAGTTTAAGGTTAAGAAGAAATAAAAACAACTGTATTTATAGGCAACGTTTGCAATTTTATGGTTTTGTTACTTTTATTTTAAGTTTTAAAAAATAGTTGAACCAAAGGAAAATTCTGTTATTTAATATTTCTGTTTAGATTATGCCGTAGCATATAATTAAATTTTATTTCAATTATTTTATATGCTGAGTTTAAGAAAATTAAATAAACTCAGGGATAATTCTATTATTTATCAAAGTTTGCATTTAATTTTTGTGAGGAATATAACTTTATTTAATATAAACTTAAATTGAATATTGAACTATATATGAATGATAACATTAATTGAATTATTTGACTTTTTTAATTCAATTAATTTTTCATATTTAATTATTTTATTT